ATGTTGCATCTCATATTGCTCTTCCTTGGCAAACCTGGAGCCATAGGTGGCTCAAACTGTTTTGCTATCCCCAGCCAGGAATTAATTTTGCTTCCTTTTCAATGAGACAATAGGGTCCAAGGCAGGGAAATAATTTGGCTTTCTCCACTTAAAGGTTTTCCCAATTATGCTTTGCTTGTTTTATTTATTTCAGAAATTTACATACCGCTTAACACTGCAGTCTCTAATATGGACTTTGGAATTCTTATGGGTCAACACAGCTACCATTACATGGGGGTCAGTAATAATAAGCCTTGAATGTCTATATGTATTTCTGTACTGGCTTATATGGGCAAAGATGGAAAGATTTATTATTGTTTAATATTGGAAGAATGGTTTGTTGAAGTTATTGGAGGCAAAGCTGATATGCTTGATTAGACAAAAAACATTGCTGACATTTATTAATGATAATAATTAGAGAATTCGTTTTGGACTTTTTGTGTGAAATGGAAAGTGAATGAATCTGAGACATTTTTGGTCTGAAAACTGGGGAAATATTGCTTGACAGAAATTAGAATATCCAAGAGTGAATGTTTTTAATAATTTCCTTTATGTAACTGACAGAAAATTGGAAGTCCTGTTTATTTTTCTTCTTTCTTTTCTTTCTATTTTCTTTAATTTTTATTTGGTATCCTCTGGTCTGTTACCAGGGTCCATGGATTACACACACATGAAGGTAGTGGATAGTTGGCAGAAGGACCTTGAATGAAAAGCAGGGAAGCAAAGATCTCCCAGGGCGAGAGACTGGGAGAAGAAAGGAAAGCTCCCAGGTGAGAGCTGGGAGGATCCACCACTTTCTGTGTGTGACAAGGGTTAAGAGCTACATTTGAGAAAGGACTTTTTTCGTTCCATTTTGTTTCTGCTTAGACTCGTTTCTTTGATCTTATTGTATTATGAAAAAGCTTTAATAAGATCTTATGAAATAAAGGACTGCAGACTTTGGCTCATGGTGAGCAAAAGGCAAACATGTGTACAGTACAGGTGAAAGAAGAAGAAGAAGAGTTTGGATTTGATATCCCGCTTTATCACTACCCTAAGGAGTCTCAAAGCGGCTAACAATCTCCTTTCCCTTCCTCCCCCACAACAAACACTCTGTGAGGTGAGTGGGGCTGAGAGACTTCAGAGAAGTGTGACTGGCCCAAGGTCACCCAGCAGCTGCATGTGGAGGAGCGGGGAAGCGAACCCGGTTCACCAGATTACGAGTCCACCGCTCTTAACCACTACACCACACTGGCGCTCTGAATAACACTATGATTATATTGATATATTAATGCAAAAAGAAGGAAGTCGTTCTGAGCCACTTCCTTCTTTATGGTTCAGGAAATTTCATAAACCCACCTAAGAATAAAAACAAATTAGTTGCCAACATGCAGCTGCACATTTAATACTAAGGTAGCTTTGACTTGTGTGCACAATCTCCCCACCCCCATTTCTGTCCTTTCTGCAGCACCTTGGGCAGCATCTCTGGATGGAATAGGGAGAGATGCCTCTGCCTTCTACCAGCTTGCTACTTTATTTGCTATGATTTGTTCTCTGTAACACAAAATATGAAGGCAAATACTAAGGTGAGCAGTGTATTCATTCTATTTGGCCGGGATATTAAGGCAAAGGGAGGCAGGAAGAAGCAAGGGAAGGAGGGCTGAGAGATGAAAGGCATGTGGACAGAAACAGCAGAGATGAGCCCATTAACTCAACCACTATACAAGATGTGCTGTTGTCCAGTAGCCTGCAGGAAGCAGAGGATGGCTGAGGATGAACTGGGAGGGGGGTGGAACAGATATGTAGGGGTTCCATCTGCTTTCCTTGTTCCTCTGGTTTATGCATGTGGTGAAAGTGTTGATGCCTTAGGGGGGGGAAGTTGTTCTGTGGGACTACTGCAGAAAGTAAATGAGGATTGCTCCAATATGCTTGGGAGCCCAACTGAGGACAGAAGCTCTCATCTGGCTTATGCAATTATGGAGCAGGAATGCATCTTGTCTCCTGACATGTAGCTCCACAGAGCTGAGGCATATGGTACTTTGTAAAAAGCGGGACAATCTCTCAGATGCAAACACAACTGAATTTCAGGGGGGGTCACAGAGGCATGCTCAATCACACTACCACAATTAGAAAAAAAGAACAAGTTAAAATGAGTTGCAATATTCGGAACCTAAGACCGTAAGTAAGTGCCCTGCACGAAGTCACATTACATGATCACAGCTAGCCAACAATTACTCCATTCTGCAATAGATGCAATTATATGCATAGCCAACATGGTTTTAATAGACAGTGACGGGTGGGGAGTTGTAGTTAGTCGCATATACCAAGGTGCGTGTCATTGATTTTGTTTTCATTTCAGTACTAGCTCAAGATGGATTGACAGGAAAAAGCCTTTTCTGTTGTGAATCACACATCTCCTACAAGAAAGCTGCTGTTTCCCTGAGGCTTTCAGAGTAATAGCAAGGTGAACAGTTCCACAGCAATGAGGCTCAAAAAGAAAGTAAGTGACACCTAGCTGTGGTGTGGAAATGGCAATCATGTCAAAAAAAATCAGATGAACAATGTGGGATGGAAGAAAAACAGGCTATACAAATGCAGGCATGGACACAATCTGGAATCTGGAAGCGCTGCTGTATTGTGGTAATCCATATATTTTAATAGCTAACGAATGTGAAGTTTGATGACTTCTACCAATATTGAAATGAGATGACATGGCATAGCCTTCCCTTGTCATTATAGGCTGCCCTACTGCAAGGTTCAAACTCTGGCAACAGTTGCTGGCTCTATTAGCTTTTTACTATTTGAAAAATAATACAATGTCCTATATGAGTGAAGCACAGACATCTGGCAAATCTAATTTTACTTTGCATTGCAGAGATTAGGCAAGTCTAGAGAAGCAAAATAAACACATCATTTCACAGTGCAATAATTTTTTGTGCGTGGGTTTTCGGTCAACGTAGCCAGCATCCTAAACAGCGGGTTTCCCCAGGGAAAGTGGTGGGACAAAAGAGAAACCTCTATGACCTGTACCAAGAGTTTATGGTACAGAGCTCAACCAGAAGTGTGGATGAACTCTGTATGTGACTATTGCAAAGATCTATAGGATCAGGATTTCAGTGTGTTTTAATCTTCCAAAGACAGGCATTTAAATGTCTGATTACTTAAGTATTAGAAAGAACTCACTTTCAAGAACACATTAAAACATGGCTAAGGATATTTGAAAGATCACATTTTTGTCTCTCTTCAATTTACACCACACACCAAAATACAAATTAGTGTAATATTAATTGATTAATGCAGTGCAATAGGAATGATTGAGTAAGTGGCCATACTTATGATGCACTGAATTAATAATTATAATAAAATGGTTGACATAGACCATATGAAAATGCCTTCTGTTTTAAATTGATAAGATATAGGCCATTATCTAGACACATAAAATTTGGGAACTGCGGCTAGCTATAGAATTTAAAAGGAACTTATGGGAGATATAAAAATGCATCATACTGTCCTCTATGCAAGTAAATATTAAACCTTAAATGCCTCTGCAATAAGGACTATGGAGAAATAATTACCATTCTTGTGTGTCATCCATGGGAGTTCACTGTCAATGTAATACCCAGTAAGTAACACTCCTACTTATCCCACTTTTTGAAAACCTGAATTCTTGATGATCCTCTGTCATTTCAGTCAATAAGACTATATTTTTACTTTAATAGCTAAGGGCATGCAATTCAAGTAATACACTTACTCTAATGAAATATGATTTAAATCATTGTGAGTTGGTTTGAGAATTGCAGGTAATGTGGTCATTTAGCTCACGTTGTGGAAAGTAACAGTGCATCACCAGAACACAATACACATTTCCATGTAAAATAACATTTAGATAATCTCTGCATCTTATATGAATGAGTAAGACTCAAATGCACATACAAAATACTTTGAAAATGAGCTTGATTGTGTAATGCAAATAATCTAAATTCTGTTCGGGGAGGGGGTGCAATCAGAATACCAGAAAATGATTCCTGCCATGAAGGATACTGCAGACAGATCAACTACTAATTTTATATTCCCTTGAATAATTCACTATCAATGCTATTCTAGTATCAAGTGTTAAAATGCGCTTCTTTTATAACATGGTCCTGCGCATGTATATTGAAAAGTGCCACTGAGTTCATTGAAGCTTTCTTGCTGTAATCCCATGATCTGGGAGTAAGCCTCACTGAATTAAATGTGACTTTCTTATGAATTAATATGTGCTGTTAAGCTGCAAAAAATCCTATACCTACTTTTCTAGGAATAAGCCAAGGAAAGGCAAGTGACTTACTTCTGAGTAGACATGTATAGGATGGCACTATTAGTTTCTAACTGAACATCCATATAGCCCTACAGTGTCTGTCTTTTCATAATATAGAACAGAACGGCATTCTCAGAAAGAGGGAGATTCTTAGCCGGATTCAGTCAAAAGGTCCCACTAATGTAAACACATGCAAGGACATCCACTAGCACAAAGGGGCTTTCCCCACTCCTATCCCCATATGCCTCCTTATTGGTTTGGGGTGGGGTTCGAAGAATCTCCAGAAGAGTACACAGGGTGAGATAAAGTGGGCCACTCCATTTGGCAAGCTGAAATTCTCGTGAATCGGTCTCCCTGGGGAGGTTGCGAACTCTCCTTCCTTGGAGGTTTTTAAGCAGAGGTTGGATGGCCATCTGTCATGGATGCTTTAGCTGAGATTCCTGCATTGCAGGGGGCTGGACTAGATGGCCCTCAAGGTCTCTTCCAACTCTACAATTCTAAGTTTATGGAACAATTGCCACACTGCTGTGTTACCTTCCTCCCAAATATTTTCAGGATTATAGTGAACCAACCATTTTCATTTGCCTGACTGGTTTCTTTTCGCTAGCAATGAAACTTGATTATTTAAGCTTAATAGATAAGCTAAAGATTATTTAGAATGCTTTGAGAACATCTTACAAAACTCACAGTGCTGATTTATCCTTAGAAATGAGTTGATAAACTGGAACTGGAGTCACATCACCAGCTTCTTCTAGGGTCAATCAATCTTGATGTCGCAACTGGGGGGAGAGGAAAAAAACACAACAGAAAGATTCAAGATGACAAGCTATAAAGGACACAAGTGAAGTAGGAGAATAGCAGCAGACTACAATACTGCGATATCAGATTGGAATTTATAAGATTCTGACAATATATGTATGGTTATAGATATAAGTTCATGAAGGGTTCTCCTAATGTCTCAGTTTTCCTTACATGCAAGAAAATGTTCAGTCTTGCCCACTGAACATTGTATAATCTCACAGAGCTTTTATAGCAGGTATGCTGCCTAAGACATTTAAGCCTTCCCTCTTATTAAAAATAAATAAATGAATTTCACATGTAAAAATCAGTTTTTGCTTAATCTCACCAGATGGTAATGCCATCATCTAGAATGTGCATTTGATTTCACTCCCACATTGTTTTGCATTAATATTTACACATGACATAAACAGCATGAAAAGAGGCTAAAACATTTTGGATGTTATAGGAGATGCGGGTCTTCCATCAAATAACAGTGCTGAGTCTCCTCCTCCTCTTTGCTGGTAGTGATGCAGAACATCTGACTTGATGCCACCATTTCACTGGCTCTAGTTTCAGGTCCATTTCAGTCTCATATCTGAAGCATCAAACCTGCTTGCAAAGTTAGTATAGGGCATTTCACACTTATCCTGTCCCAAGCAATAGGATATTCAGCCTGCTGGTTCTCTTTCAGAAATCTGATAGAATTATAGAATGATCTTACAGGTGAAGATTTATAGGCCCAGTTTGCACACAACGCTTCAATAATGTGTGGCCTGCAAGTACCACTGCTAAAATGTTTATTAGTTGCTTCACCCCCTGCTCCCTCCTTTCACTTGCAGCAGAAGAAACAAACTAGAGGCTGGCATGCCATGGCAGCAAGTCAGTACTCATGCTTTGTTTCCCCCCCACTAGCAGCTGGTGGGGGGCTCATAGCTTCCCAATGCAGTGTGCGGTGCAACAGTGCTCTACCCCATGCCGCCTCACTGGCTGTCACTGTTTCTCTCCTAAACAAACCATGATGGCAAGCCAAGAACAAAGGGGAGCATGTAACAGGAAGAGAGCCACTGCCGACTTCTCTGACACACTGAAGGAGTGGGTCAGGAACACCCCAGGGACTTTTGAGCAGCCTGCCCCCAACACATTGCTCATTCGCTTTAAAGCATTATTTAATTCAAACTGTGACTTAAAACGATGTGCAATGTTGTTTTATTTCCTGATTTGTGTGCCATTTTTAAAGGGGTAACTGCCCCTTCAAAGCCGTGTATAAAATTTCAGGAGAAATCATCAGCATCCAGTTAATGCCCCCTTAAATTTTCAACAGCACCAGTTAAAACTTGAGTTGTGATTAAGAAAATGAGCAGCAATTAATAAATAATAATAATCCAGATCAAAATATGTTTTACTGATTGGGCAACTACTGCTGGGGAACAGAAGCACATGCACAAAACAGTACTGGGTTACACTCTCTGGGCCAGTGCCATGTTCTATGCAGCAGCACCCAGCCAAAGCTCTTCCGTGTGATGCTGTACACTTTAATTCAGACACATTCTAATCAAAGTGTCCAACAATCTCTCTGAGGAGTCTACTTTACATCAGAAATGGAAGTGGGGGAAAAGGTGAGGACAATGTCTTATCCTATCTTCAGTCCGCTCTTGGAAAGTACAGCATGCAAGACACTTCTGTGCTTGGGTTTCTATTGCTTGCAGAAAGGTTTTCATTCATTTTCATTTAGTTAGCATTTTTATTTTCTTTTTTTTTAAAATAATTTTTATTAATTTTCCCATAAGTAAAAAAGAAAACAAAGCAAAAACATAGATAAAGACAAAAACGACTTCCCCGTACCACCCCTTTTCTGCATTCTTGTTTCAAGATTTTTCAGCAACCCTTTCGTATTAAACTTATTTCTATTTCGTAAATTTAACTTCCATAAGATATTAAAACAACTGTAGTTCTTTATCTCTTATTACCCTGATCCTCTAATTTTCCAAATTACAACAGTTTTTAAGATAAACTTTAAATTTGTTCCAGTCTTCATCCACCGCCTCTTTCCCCCGGTCTCGGATTCTGCCAGTCATCTCTGCCAGTCCCATATAATCAATCACCTTCGTCTGCCATTCTTCCAACGTGGGTAGATCTTGTGTCTTCCAATACTTTGCTAGAAGGATTCTTGCTGCTGTTGTAGCATACATAAAAAATGTCCTGTCCTTCTTTGGCACCATTTGGCCCACCATACCCAGGAGAAAGGCTTCTGGCTTTTTATTAAAAGTTCTCTTCAGAACTTTTTTAATTTCATTGTAGATCATTTCCCAGAAAGCCTTAATCTTCGGGCAGGTCCACCAAAGGTGATAGAAGGTTCCCTCCGTTTCATTACACTTCCAACACTTGTTATTGGGCAGATGATAAATCTTTGCTAACTTAGCCGGAGTCATGTACCACCTGTAGATCATTTTCATAATGTTTTCTCTTAAGGCATTACATGCCGTAAATTTAACACCAGTGGTCCATAACTTCTCCCAGTCAGCAAACTCAATGTCATGCCCTATATCCTGTGCCCATTTAATCATACTAGATTTCACCATTTCATCTTGAGTATTCCATTTCAACAGCAAGTTGTACATTCTTGACAAGTTTTTAGTATTGGGTTCTAACAGTTCTGTTTCTAGTTTTGACTTCTCCACTTGGAAGCCTTTCTTTCTGTCCTGTTTGAATACTTCATTTATCTGTCGATAATGTAGCCAATCTCTCACCTTAAACTTCAGTTTCTCGAAACTCTGCAATTTTACTTTTTCACCATCTTGTTCTATCATTTCAAAATATTTAGGCCAATTAGAACCCATATTCAATTTTTTCACCTCTTTTGCCTCCAATGGTGACAGCCACCTAGGGGTTCTGCTTTCAAACAAATCTTTATACCTTATCCAGACATTATACAGCGCTTTCCTCACCATGTGGTTCTTAAAGCCTTTATGCACTTTTACCTTGTCATACCATATATATGCATGCCAACCAAATCTGTTATCAAACCCTTCAAGATCCAAAATGTCTGTATTCTCGAGGAGCAGCCAGTCTTTCAACCAGCAAAACGCTGCTGATTCATAGTAAAGTCTTAAGTCCGGCAGGGCAAAACCTCCTCTATCTTTTGCGTCTGTTAATGTCTTAAATTTTATTCTTGGCTTTTTGCCCTGCCAAACAAATTTCGATATGTCTTTCTGCCACCTCTTGAAACAGTCCATCTTGTCTATTATTTGTAATGTCTGAAACAGAAATAACATTCTAGGCAATACATTCATTTTGATAACAGCAATTCTGCCTAACAAGGAAAGTTTCAGCCTTGACCATATGTCTAAATCTTTCTTGACTTCTGTCCAACATTTATCATAGTTGTCTTTAAATAAGTTCACATTTTTCGCTGTCAAGTTCACCCCCAAGTACTTCACTTTTTTTGCTATCTCCAAACCTGTTTCATTCTGAAATGTCTCTTTTTCCTCATTTGTTAAGTTTTTCTCCAGCACTTTAGTTTTTTGTTTATTCAGTTTAAATCCTGCAACTTGACCAAATCTCTCAATCAGTTCTAAAACTCTTTTTGTACTAGTGTTTGGCTGCTGTAGAGTCAAAACTAGGTCATCTGCAAATGCCCTCAGTTTATACTCTTTCACTCCGACCTGAATTCCTTTAACCAACTGGTCCTTTCTAATCATATTTAACAAAACCTCCAGGACCAGTATGAAAAGTAGAGGGGAGATAGGGCATCCCTGTCGTGTTCCTTTCTCTATAGCTATCTCTTCCGTTACCACATTATTCACAATTAGCTTTGCCTTCTGCTCAGAGTATATTGCACCTATACCATTTTCAAAACCTTGGCCTACCCCCATCCCTTGGAGATTCTTTTTCATAAAACTCCAGCAAATATTGTCAAAGGCTTTCTCCGCGTCCACAAAGATCAAAACCGCTTTTCTATTAATGTTCATTTCCAGCAGTTCCACAATGTCTATTATGTTCCTCACATTATCAGACATATGTCTTCCCGGGAGAAAGCCAGCTTGGTCCTTATGAATCTCACCTATCAATACTTTCTTCAGTCTTTTTGCTAAAATGTCTGCAAATATTTTGTAATCCACATTTAATAATGATATCGGGCGGTAGTTCTTGACCTGATTCTTTTCAGTCTCAGTTTTTGGTATAAGTGAAATAAAAGCCTCTTTCCACGTTTCAGGTGCCTTTTTCCCCTCCAGTATTTCATTGCAAACTTCTTTCAATGGTTGCACTAAACATTCTTTCAAAGCTTTATAGTATCTAGCCGTCAAACCATCTGGTCCTGGAGACTTTCCCAATTGCGCTTTTTGAATGGCCTCCTCTATTTCTTGCTCTGTTATTTTCTCATTCAAAGTCAGCTTGCTCTGTTCTGAGATTTTAGGTAGTCCATGATTTTTAAGGAATTCATCTATTTCTTGTTCGTTCACTGGCCAGCATTTTTATTTTCTAGGTTTACTTAGTCTAGCCTGATTGATCTAATCTTCATTCTCAGTGAGTCTAAGAATTTCATTTCACGTTTGAAATAAGAAGCCCTGGAGCATGGCAATGACATCATCATATACCAGGGTGCTGTGTTATTCATGTTGCGAACAAAGCCCAAGATAGAAACAAAGCCCCTGTTGTGTGTTCATCCAGACTGCAATTTTCCATAGATCAGTTGTTGGCTCTTTTGAGCATATGGTGGAGGGAGTAAACATTCACTAGAAAGTATAGATTTAAAATGGCCTCAGATAAACATGGTCCCATCAACAAGGAGAAAGGATTCATTTTATTACTAGGTTTTAGTGTTCTAGTATTGTTATGAGTTTGTTGGTACAAGACGCTTCTAAATTCCTGAACCCAGTAAGTGTTAGAATTTAATCAAGCTTCCTGAACCCCTGGATCCAGCAATTGTTAAAATATAAGCCAGGCCAGCTTCCTCATGAGGTAATTGCATGGAAGATGAGTCAACAATGAAAAGGTAATG